GGGAAAAAAAAAAGGGCTAGGGGTTTTTTTTTTTTGGGGGGGTCTTCGTTTTTTTTTTTTTTTTTGAAAGAAAGGGTATAATAAAAACTAGTTAGGGTTTGATTGTTTGTTTTGTTTTTGTTTACTGAGAAAATGAATTTTACAGAGATTTGTGAGGTTTGGAGGTGGGGTTGGGGTGGGAGGGGAAAAGTTAAATATATTTTGCTAATTGTTATGAGAGAACAAAATATATACCAAACCCCTTGCTCTCTCTAGAACTCTATTTTATATATATATATATAGATATATCTTTCTCTCTTAGATTATCTGCCTTTTGTTTTTTTTTTTTTTCTCCTTTTTGTTTTTGACAATTCTTTTTGGAATTTGTTTTGTTTATTTCTTAATTTCTCTGTCCCTTGTTTTTCTTGGTTTTATTATTATTATTTTTTCCTTTGAATTTTTTAAGTCGGAAATGAAAGATATGGAGGACGGCGGGCTTGTTGTATTGGAGTGGGCTTTCAAATACGGGCCCAAGTCTATCAGAAAAAAAAAAAAGAAAAATTGCAAAAACAGATTCTTAAACACATACTTCTAAAATTTTACCTTTTTTTACTCTTCTAATAATATTTTATTAAATTATAGATAATAATTTATTAAATTTTAAATAATAATATGCTAAATTTGCCTGTCACTGGCGATTAGAGATCCGCGTCGGTGATATTTGTTAAATTATCGATTATAATCTGTTAAATTATTTACTTCAAGATAATAAAATTCAATAGGTTAATATTGAGATCTAAAAATCTTTAATGGTATTATTTTAAGAGTATTGATTAAAATTATCTAAGAAAAATTATGGGTCCAAAGTCAATTGGGAGTTTTCACACAGAAGGGTTATGGTGGATGAAACTTGAGGAACTCAATTTGGATTGTTGAGAAAAAAAAAAAACACAATTTGGATTGTTATTACCGGAAATCTAACAGTTATTGCTGGAATCAACAGTGGATTGTTGAGCAAAAAAAAAAACCTCAATTTGGATTGTTATTACTGAAATCTAACAGTTATTGTTGGATTCAACAGTGATTATTGGCTGATAATCATCTTCAAAAAGAAATCTGGTAGATTGTGTGTGGATATAATATATCAGATTATTTTAAAATTTTTATTTTATAAATATCATCCTCGATTTTTTTCAACGCCCGTCACCAAAGTGCAATCTGGTAGATTACCATCAGTATTCCTACAAAAAAAATTAATTAAAATATTCTACTAGATTATTTCTAGAATCATATAGAAGCAGGAAAAAAAAAACATTGAGTAAAAAGTTTACATCAACAAAATTATCATAAAAAAAGTTATAAGAAAAAAATCAAAAAAATAAAAAATAAAAAAATCTCATTGTAACATATCACCAAGCTTGTGCTGCTCTTGCACGGTGCTGCCTCTTTCCATTTATGATTGTCGCCCGTTGGAGAAGCTTGCATCATCATTCTCTTAATAGTTAATTCAAAGACGTGGTCAAAATGACAAATTTCCTATCACTAAATCAGTCGTGCCCTGGCAAGTCACCTAACTTCGCAAATTTGAGTTTTTAATTTAAGCTGAGATGTAATATTTTCTGAAAGCTTTTCACTATAACAAAAAAAGTTAGATGTGATATTTTTTAAAAGTTTTTTACTGTAAAAATCTAAAACTGAAAACTCGAATCGGTGAAATGAACGAGACTCTAATTTTTTCAAAGGTTAAAGAGGAAAATAAACTTAGGAAAAATGTTCCTTATAATTCATTTCTTTACTTTGTATCATTCTCTTAGGTTGCGTTTAGTATGAGGGTTCTAGAATCGGAACTGCGATTCTGATTCAAACTTTTATTTGTTTGTAAAAAATAAAAAATAGTTCTTAAAAACCATTATTTGGTTTGGATGGTTCTGGTCCAAAGTTTAAATCCTGATGTGATGTTTTACATTAGAACCACCTCAAATAATAAAACCACATTCTCTTTGATTTTGGATGGTTCAAACCTCTGATTCTGATTCCGGTTCCAGAACTATGGTTTGGACCCCAAATTCAAATCATAAATCATAATTCTAATTCTAAAATTAAAATCACCATAATTTAAACCATCACATCAAACGCAACCTTAATTTTCCCCTTTCAAATTGATATACAAGAGATGAAGTGAGGCCATAAATTTTATTATTTCTAAGACAATGAATCCCCGTTTATTTTGCTGATTCGAGTTTAGAATTCGAGTTTTGCTACAGTAAAAAGCTCTCACAAACAGTCACATCTAACTTTTTTGCTACAGTAAAAAGCTCTTGCATAAAATCACATCTAAACTCGAATTAAAAACTCGAATCGGCGAACTAAACGGATCCTAAATTTTTATTCCCTTTTAATGAGGGAGGATTCCTCCAGATTTCCCAAAAAATTAAAGGGTCACTTTTTATTGTACACCTTGCATTTATATTTCATTTTGTATTTTGAATGTTCTCAAGATTGTACCGTTAAATTTCAAATTTCATGTCAAAGTTGTACAATCGATTAATTTTTCAATTAGTGTTTCATTAAGAGTTTATAACCTACAAATGGTAAATTCGTTAATTCAAAGTATAAAATGTACAAATTTGACATAAATTTAAAGAGAAAGTTACCTAGTATGCCACCCAAAATCCAATAGCTTTTTGTTTATTTTATTTTGCTGATTTTATAAAAATAACTTAGGCAATATAAAAAACATTATATCATAATACAATCTGGACAAAATAATTTGGTATGATATTAAAATATAAGAAAAGGAGACAAATATCCCTTTAGGTTTGGATTTTTAGCCTATACTTTTAATTAATATTATTTTTAGCTAAATAATTATATTAGTCAAAAAAATATTAATTAATAATAAGTGAATAAAAATTTAAACTCATGCACTTTAAAAATAAGTTCAACAATTTCTAATATCGGTTGAATTGAGTGTCATTTTTGTAAAGAAAAAAAAACTATAATCAACTTTTTAAATTCAAAATTTTTATTAAAAAAATGTTGTTTAAACTCGAATAAGGATGGTTAATACACCCTAAGTTTGTCATTTAAAGAATATAAAGATAACTACTATTTCTGTATTTTTTCATTCTATTTGAAATAATCTATTAATTTCCATGATCCCTTTTGAAACATCCGATGAAATTAGAAATGCCCATGAATGACACGCACACATTGAGAAATGGATCCGGGGTTGTTCGGTTACTCCTTTTTTGAGTAACAAATTAAAAAAAAAACAACTCGAGTTATAATTTTATTCAAGTTCATGTTCTTTTAAGTTTAAACTCGGGTTTGAATTCGAGTTTGGGACTAAAATTTGAGTTGAAGTTTCCTCTTCAACTCGAGTTCAGAAACTCGAACTCAAATTAATGAACATTATTTTTTATATTCTTAAAAATGCTATAACTTTTTTGTTTTAATTATGATTGAGATGATTTTTTTTCTATGCGTTGCAACGAAAAGACGAATAAAACCCCACCCATATACCATATTAAAATTTTTTATCAGCATTGAGTTTTTATTAAAATACTATCTAAATACAAATTCAAGTTTTGACTCACTCAAACACAAACTCAAAAAGATTCTTATCTCAAACTATAACTCAAATGTACACAACTAAACACAAATTCAAATTACAACTTCAACTCAAATTATAACTCAAATTCAACTCAAAATTTACACTCAATCACCTAACTCAAAAACGATAAAAGAACAGCCTCTACATGTTTGAGTTGAAAATTTGAGTAAAAATGAATTTACGTTGTAATAAAATGTTAAATTTAAATTTTTATATATAAAAAAAACACTATAACAAAAAATAAAAATTTTGTGTTAGCGATTGAAATTGCGAAACAAACGGGGCAAAATAGAGTATTCATTTTTTAGAGTAGTCGTAGTCTCGTAGAGAGTTAAGAATTTCGAGAAGGTAGTAGTAGTATCTGTCTAAGCACTCCCATTGATATGACTTTGGTTTCTTCCATTTTTCACGATGTTAACAAGTGATTGTAAGTAACTGCGCAAAACTCTGGTTTACTCCGTCGGACCAAAGAAGTAGAAGAAGAAACAGCCAACTTTTCTGGTGGGCATGTCTCATTCATGGGTCCGAGCGCTTTCGGCTTGGAAGAAGAATTTCGTTTTGGGTTTGTTTCGTCGCAAAACTATATCTCTGCCTCATACCTTGGAACCCAGAAACTCCCTTGGTTCGACTTCAGCAGTTCATAATTGTGACGAATTTACATCCATTTTAGGTATGTAATTGTTGCCTTATACCAACTCAGCATTTTAATGGCTGAAAAACTGTAGGATTTTTTGTAGAGTGACTTTGCACAGGACCTGATTCATAATTGTGACGAATTTTCATCCATTTTAAGTATGTAATTGTTGCCTTATACCAACTCAGGATTTTGTTGGCTGAAAAACTGTAGGATTTTTTGTAGAGTGACTTTGCACAGGACCTGTTTGATGAAATGCGTGTTTGGGGATTGTTCATAATGTAGGATTTCGTTGCCGGCAAAGTGTAGAAATTTGATACGAGTTTTTTGTGCGTAGAAACTGTTTGATGAAATGCGTGTTTCAGGATTCTTCATAATGTAGGATTTTGTTGCCTGCAAACTATATGATTTTGCTAGTTTATTTTTGTGTAGAAACTGTTTGATGAAATGCCTGTTTCAGGATCCCTTCTTATTGTAACTGTATCACGGGGCAGGAACTGCTGTAGGTCCTTTTCGAGCCTCCGTCATTGTATTGTCGAGGATACCGGGGAAGTTCGCAAGGTACCCAATAATAAGTTGTCTGGTTTTGGTTCATCTGATGCTTCAGATGGCGGTTTTGATGTCTCTCCTTTAAGTCCTGTTAGTGATAATGATAGTGAAATTGGGAAGGCTCACGATAGGTATCGAAAACCGATTGACTTCACCAAAGTGAAAAAGAATTTGCTTCCAACTGTAGTTATTATTGGACGTCCCAATGTGGGCAAGTCAGCCTTGTTTAATCGGTTGGTTCCATTTCTAGCCCCTGTAGTTCTCTGCAGACCTTGTAGATATATATATATATATATTTTTTCATAACATTTGAAAAACGTTTCCATATCTTTTAGTTTAATTCGGAGGAGGGAGGCACTTGTGTACAACACTCCGGATGATCATGTTACTAGGGACGTCAGAGAGGGCATTGCAAAGTTGGGTGATTTACGATTTAGGGTACTGGATTCAGCAGGCTTAGAAACGGAGGCAACTTCAGGCTCTATTCTTAAAAGAACTGCAGGAATAACGTCAAATGTGCTCGGAAGATCACAGTTTGCCATATTCCTTCTAGATGCGAGGTTAGTTTATGAATGCTAGTTTGTTTACTTATCTACCCGTTTAAACACATTCAAGTTAGGAAAACTTGGGAAAGAGAGAGACAGTTTTCTGCAAAGAAAATAGTGAATTGTTACTGGATGATTGCCATGAAGAATACTCAGAAAAATACCTTGCCATTTTACCCTTATTTTTGCTGTTCTTCTTCTTTTTCTTGTATGATATCCAATTCCTCCCTTGGTGATATCTTCTATTACTAGAGCTGGACTGCACCCCCTCGATATGGAGGTTGGAAAGTGGTTGCGCAAACATGCACCTGGAATCAAGCTTGTAGTAGCGTTGAACAAGGCTGAATCTCTTTTCGATGGCAGAGAATCTCTTGAAGCGGCAGCTGCTGAAGCTTACAGATTAGGATTTGGGGACCCTATTGCTATATCAGCTGAAACTGGATTGGGCTTGCAAGATCTTGATGAGGCTCTTAGGCCATTGCTTGAGGATTATGTGCTCAAAGTCTTAAATGGTAAGTGCCTTTTTTTATTATTCTCTTAAAATAGCCCTGCACTTGATGGCGAAACATTTTTCCTCGAGGAATGATGATTTCCAAAAAAATAAATCCTTCTCAAACTTTTATAAGGTCTCAACTAGCTTTAAGTGTCTTATTGTATGTGCCATGATCCTTGATATCCAATTATCCAACAGAGGTAGTTTTGCTGACTGATCTGCCAGTTCAAAAGTCAAAACGTTAATATGGAATGCAGTAACTGTGGTTTCGCATATTATCATACTATCATGGGAAGGCGCCACTCTGTGTTAGAAATGATACTTTTCAACTACGGTATTTATTGTCGTGCTATAATGCTTGCAATTGTTTTCTGTGCATGCTAGCACGTAGGAACCAACTATCAATAAACTGTGTATTACCATAGTTGATGGAAAACGGCACTCAAGAAGTTAAGATGACCACAAGTGCTTGAGAAATAGATCATATTGTAGATCCATTGTTCAGTTTAAACTTTTTCTTTTTTTCTTTGACGTGAACATTTTCATAGCAATGCTGTGTTTGTGGTAAACTAGTATTGGAAGTTAAGACTGGAGTAAGGAAAAAGATATAATCCATAGCTGCCGTCCAGAAAATCCTGCTGTAACATTACACCATAAGTTGACTCTTTCTTGCTCTTCTATCCTCCTTTTTTTTTTTTTTTCTGTTTTTTGCTTTTCTAAGAAATGAAGATGTGTAATCAATGGAAAACCACTATAATAGGACTAAAGAGCACAAAGAGTCCATCTACACCAAAAGAAAAAAGAGAGAGAGAGAACAAGTGCAACATGAAAAAAGCCTACACCAAATAAATTACGTTATTCATGTGTCAATATTGCAAGTACCTCTATTGTTAGGACTTGGTGGTATGATTCTGGATATGTAGTGTGCTTTCTGCAAAGATATATTTGTCAGTTTGATAGGAAAAGTCTAGATCTTATCATTGTTTAAGAAAATTACATTCATCCATCTACTGTAAATCATAATTCTGGATTACATGTTTGACAATACGCATATAGGTTTTTATAAATACATTTCCCTAGTTCTTGAAGTATTATTTTCACATTTTACTGATGCTAGATGAAGGTGTTGAGGGGAGTAATTTCACTCAGGACAACGATTCCTCTGAGGTTGAGGAGAGTAAGCTGCCATTACAGTTGGCAATTGTGGGACGGCCTAATGTTGGGAAGTCAACCTTGCTTAATTCATTGTTACAAGAAGATCGTGTTTTGGTGGGTCCAGAAGCTGGACTGACAAGAGATTCAATCAGAGCTGAGTTTGAATTTCAAGGAAGAACCATATATCTGGTGAAGAGCATTTTTTCCTTTTAATGTTTGTCCAACTTTTGAGGCACAAATACTATTTCACCATCTTCCGTCTGTATTTTTTTTTTAATATTTTTTTCACTCAAGAATCAATTAAATGCCTAGAATTAACAAAATCTCAAGACTTGGATTCGGACTAAATTCCTGTTGTTCTGGTTAGACTATTGTTCAGTACTGGTCATCTTTTAATATTGTCTGCTTTTAAGATAAGTAATCAAAGAACAGGCATTAAATAATTTTCAGAAGTTTTGTCATTTTTTTTCTACTTTAGAGACGACCCATAGACGCGTTTAGTGCATTAGAATATACACTCTGGAAGTTTTGCATGTCGAGAAACAGAAATGTGATGCACCTGAGATTTACCAAATCGTAGTTATCAGTGTTAGAATTGTCATTTCCTTGTGGTGATCTTCTATGTTCATTGACTTCCTATGCAGGTTGATACTGCAGGTTGGCTGCAGAGGACTAAAGATGAGAAAGGACCATCATCCTTGAGCATTATGCAATCAAGAAAGAGTATTATGAGGGCTCATGTAGTTGCTTTGGTGCTTGATGCTGAAGAGGTTTGTCTTGCACATCATTTTTGCTTTCATGGCATGATAAACTTGTGACGTTTAGATCCACGTGAATATATGCTGAAAGGAAAAATGTGGAAGCTAATTCCAAAAAGTTCCATTCTTTGGTCCCAAAACACTATTTCTTTACAGCTGTAGAAAACTGTATATAGAGAGAGTCAAGCTACCCCGTGAGTCAAGCTATTATGTATACATTTTTCTCTTTCTTTTCCTTTCTTTGTTTTTTTTTTCAACATTCTTGTATACTTAGTTTGTTGCTTCCTTGCTTCTGTATTACTAGTTTCTATATCCTAGGTCTCGTATGATAATTAAGTGGCTTTCTTTTGTTTATTATATATATATATATCTATATTATTTTTTATCCCTCAAACATTATGTAGTACTTAGTTGGGACTTGAGAGATCCCACTGTGTTGAGCTGGTTTGTAGTGTTCAAGCAAAAATACACGTAAAGATGTTTAGCTATATTGCATAAAAGAAAAGGAAAGACAAAATACAACCGACTAAAACCATCCTGTCAATTATGGTGAAGATGGTGAATCCATAATGCTTTTCAGTGTTTCTTTATGAGAATATCATTATATGCTATCACTGCAAAGCATTGGCCATGGAGAATTCCACACTTTCTAAACTGGGTTCTTAAAAGGGAACTGATGTTCACTATTAATTGTTGAATAATTGGCCGACTGCCATGTAGTATTGTTAGTTGTAAAAGCGGTTAATGAAGAATCAATGTCATGCATGAAAGTTATTTTTCTCCTCTTTTTTTTTCTGTTTTTGTTTTGTTTTTGCATTCATTTCTTCATGCATCTACCATTTGCAATGATGAGCAGATTGCAAAAGCTAAGAGAAGCATGACGCATACTGAAGTCGTTATAGCTAGACGAGCTGTAGAAGAAGGACGCGGTTTAGTTGTAATTGTGAATAAAATGGATCTTTTGAGAGGAAAACAAGAATATAAAAGAGTTATGGAATCTGTTCCTGAAGAAATTCAGACCGTGATAATACCCCAGGTACGCCTCTGTTCCATACTTTTAGCGGACTAAGTCTATATTGCTTTATCATAAATTGTTTTAGCTGATCATATTCATTTTTCACACTTATCGGACTCGTGGGATGGTGGGGTTAAAGTGCCCAAAATAACCAGTAGTGCTATTAGCATGGCCAAGACAACCATTTCTAGCACTATTACCACCATTACTTGACATCATATTGGGTTGGCATCAGGGCCATTTTCAAAATTACAGCCACTTCACCCAGTCGCCAACAGTGCTGGCATCAGTACTGATACCAACACTACCATATAACTTTGAAGTTCCCGCCGCTGCCGCTGTAATCATTGCTGTTGTCACCGTTGCTATTCTCGTTACCATACATAAGTCATATGATCATCACCTCCACAACTGCTGCTCAAGTACTAACATCTCCATGCATAAACAAACACCATCGTTGCTGCTGCCACCATCAAAGTCTCATAATTGATTAAACACCGAATCAAATATCACTTTTTTACACTTTTAGTCTTATCATGTGTTGGTGTGTGAGAGTTTTTTTTTTTAGCGTATGGACCACATGAGAAATAAGAAATGTCAGTCACGTTAGAAGAAAAGCTTTTATTAATTAAATTAATATGAGGGCTGCACTCACGGTATTTGAAAGAGAATAATGCTCATCCACAATGTCCAAAAAAGAGGATTTCTTTTGGGCACACTTACGGTATTTGGACGAACATTTGAAGACCACTCATGGTATCCAACAAAGAAAGCTCCTGGTTTGGACTAATATGGTAGTAAAGGGACAACTCACGGTATGAAAGAGGATTGTGGGAAATCAACTAAAAGAGTGAATTGGAGGATTTCCTAATTTGCCCACTGTAATGGGACCCCATAGAAAGAAAGGTTTTTTTTGTTACCTCTCCAGCTCCACTATAAATGCCCCCCTTGCTCTTGCTTCATCAATGAACGACAACAACAAGTGATCAGACAATAACAAGAGAACAATCGTTCTTTCTTTGGGGATTGGGTTTCCCACTTCAATTCACTCACCCACAATCCAGTAGAAATTCTTGTACTTTACTCACATAAATTAATAAAAGTTTAATTCATTTTTTTATGTTCTGCTTGGACCCCAGAACATTTGGCGACTCCACTGGGGACTGTTCTTTTTATCTATACCTAACAACATAGAAAAGAAGAATGGAGCCACCTAATAATAATAATAATAATTTCACTAGCACATCTAATCCAGCCGACACAAATCCTATGAATTCCTTTCTTGAAGGAATGCAAAAAACACAAGAAGGAATCCTCCAAGCTGTAAATTCAATTATGCAATCATTGCCCAGTACAGAGCCGCTACCAGGATCTTCTTTGCATGATGAAGAACACATACCCTCCGACTCACAAGACGTGTTACGGTCTGAGAAGGAAGATGCACCCGGAACGAGGCAGCTGCGAGAAGTAGAGATATTAAATGGTAATGCACGAGCTCTAAACGGCTATATTACTAAGGAAGCATCACAACATCTGTTCCTGTGATAAGAACTGATATCAAAACTCCCTGGTTTGATTGACCTAGAAAGGGAAATTTGTACTGATAAAGAAAGAGAAGAGTACAGATAGTAGCATAAAATTCGAGAGTCCTGCTAGCTCTCCCCTGAGCGAAAGCTCTCTACAAATCACCAGAAATTTCCCTAACTTCCCAAATCCTCGTCTCCCCATTTTATTCCTCATAAGCTAACAAACCTGAAACCAATTCTTGCAACTATCGAGGCAAGCAACACAGCATAACAAACTTCCCCCATGACTAGAAAAAAGACCTTCCTATCCTGTCTTCTTCCTGCGCTTGACATATGTAATACAAATTGGGGGTTTATCAATACTCCCCACCCAAACTTTCACCTTGTCCGCAAGGTGAAAAGTGGAAAACTGCTTGTTAATGGTGTCAAAGGCTTCCCAAGTGGCCTCTTCAACTGACTAATCCTGCCACTGTATCAGCACTTCAGGTTCGGTGGTATGACCCGAGCTAGAGGGACGAACACCCAAGACGGCTGCAGGCGTCACTGAGAGCTCCATGTCATCCGAGGGAGAAAGAGGCAGGTCTTGAGATGGATAAGTGGCTCCTTCTGCCCGACGCAGCTGGGAGACGTGGAAGACAGGGTGGATGGAAGAGGAAGAGGGAAGCAACAGCCTATAAGCGACTGAACCGACACACTCAATGGCCTTGTATGGTAACAGCGAAGAGCGAGCTTCTCGTTGTGGCGGCGCGCAAATGACTATTGACGATAAGGCTATAACTTTAGGTAAACCAAGTCCCCTTCCGCAAAAGAGACATCGCGGCGCAGCTGAAGCTTTCATGCGCTACGGAGCCCGAAGGAGGTGCTGCTTACGGAGCCCGAAGGAGGTGCTGCTTAAGTTCATCCAACACAGCATCCCAGTCAGCCAAGTCTCGTTCCACAGCAACCGCCACCGTGGATCCCGGCTCAAAACGAATCAAGGGCGGGGGATCACGACCATAGAGTAGGTGGAAGGGAGTCATTTTAGCAGCTGTATGGAACGAGGTGTTGTACCAGTACTTGGCCCAAGGAAGCCAGCGGGCAGCCAGCGGGCCCACTAGCGAGGCTTGTCGGAAGAAAAACAGCAGAGGTAAGCCTTGATGCAGCGATTAACAACCTCAGTTTGTTCGTTGGATTAAGGATGATAAGCCGTGCTCCGTTTCAAAACAGTACCATGGAGCTTGAAAAGAATATAAATTTAAAGAATATATTACGGCCCATATAAATACCGTGAGTGGGGTAATTAGGAAATCCTCCAATCCAGTCCCTTTAGTTGATTTTCCACAGTCCTCTTTCATACCGTGAGTTGTCCCTTTACTACCATATTAGTCCAGACCAAGAGCTTTCTTTGTTGGATACCGTGAGTGATCTTCAAATGTTTGTCCAAATACCGTGAGCGTGCTAAAAAGAAATCCTCTTTTTTGGACATTGTGGATGAGCGTTATTCTCTTCTCGTGCGGCGGCGCGCAAATGACCACTGACGGTAAGGCTGTAACTTCAGGTAAACCAAGTCCCCTTCCGCAAAAGAGACATCGCGCTTGGCATCAGCTGAAGTTTTCATGCGCTACTGAGCCCGAAGGAGGTGCTGCTTAAGTTCATCCAACACAGCATCCCGGTCAGCCAAGTCTCGTTCCACAGCAGCCGCTGCTGTGGATCCATGCTCAAAACGAATCAAGGGCGGGGGATCACGACCATAGAGTAGGCGGAAGGGAGTCATTTTAGTAGCCGTATGGAATGAGGTGTTGTACTAGTACTTGGCCCAAGGAAGCTAGTGGGCCCACTAGCAAGGCTTGTCAGAAGAAAAACAAGCCTTGATGCAGCAATTAACAACCTCAGTTTGTTCGTTGGATTGGGGATGATAAGCCGTGCTCCGTTTCAAAACAGAACCATGGAGCTTGAAAAGAATATAAATTTAAAGAATATATTACGGCCCATACAAATACCGTGAGTGGGCTAATTAGAAAATCCTCCAATCCAGACTCTTTAGTTGATTTCCCACAATCCTCTTTCATACCGTGAGTTGTCCCTTTACTACCATATTAGTCTAGACCAAGAGCTTTATTTGTTGGATACCTTGAGTGATCTTCAAATGTGTCCAAATACCGTGAGCGTGCTCAAAAGAAATAATCTTTTTTAGACATTGTGGATGAGCATTATTCTCTTCTAAATACCATGAGTACAACCGCATGTTAATTTAATTAATAAAAGCTTTTCTTCTATCGTGATTGACATTGAACCTCTCTTTTTCATGTATATATTTGTCTTATTTCTCATGTGGTCCATACGTTGAAAATTTTTTTTCTCACCAAGATTTAGTTCCCTGCATAAAGGGAAAAGGACAAAGTCTTTTTTCCTTTATGCACCTACTCACTTCTTATAAATAGCAATAAGCCTTTCCATTCTGAGCTTAATCTTCTAAACAATAGCCTTTCTCAACAACCCATTTACTCTTTTTTTTTTCCTTTTTCTTTTTTTCGTTTTTTACTCTTTTTTTTGTCTCAAAAATGTTTTCCTAAAGTGACACTC